AGATTTACTTGTTGATGGGGTTGCACGCCATCGCATTTTATCTTTTATGGATGGGCATAGTGGCTATAATCAGATCTTTATTGTAGAGGAAGACATAAGTAAAACGGCGTTTCGTTGCCCTGGAAATATAGGTACGTATGAATGGGTCGTGATGCCGTTTGGGTTGAAAAATGCAGGAGCTATATATCAGCGGGCCATGAATGCAATTTTCTATGATATGATTGGCCGCTTCATGGAGATTTATATCGATGATGTTGTTGTTAAATCCATGGAGGATGAAGAACATTTGGAGCACTTGAGGAAAGCTTTTGAAAGAATGCGACAGCATGGTTTGAAGATGAATCCTCTCAAGTGTGCTTTTGGTGTTACAGCAGGGAATTTTTTGGGTTTTCTGGTCCATGAACGAGGCCTAGAGGTGGACAAAAACAAAGCAAGGGCCGTAATTGAAGTGCGGCCACCACAAAATAAAAAGGAATTACAAAGGTTTCTTGGTCAGGTTAATTTCCTAAGGAGGTTTATCTCTAATTTGGCGGGCAAAACTCGTGTCTTTTCACCTCTTTTGAAGTTGCAACCAGATGCAGATTTTAAATGGGAGAGGCAGCACCAAGCCGCCTTTGATGCCATCAAGGAATACTTGTCTAAGCTACCTGTGTTGGTTCCTCCAGTTAAGAATAAACCTTTATTGCTGTATATATCCGTCGCAGATGAGTCAATTGGCTGTATGCTGGCACAAGAGAATAGTAATAAACGAGAACAAGCTGTTTATTATTTGAGTAGAGCTTTGAATCCGACCGAAGTGAAATATTCTTCGGTTGAGAAATTGTGTTTGGCTTTGTTCTTTGCAGCAATAAAATTGAGGCACTATTTATTGTATTCGGAGGTGTTTGTTGTTTCCAAAACTGATGTCATAAAATACATGCTGTCGCGGCCACTCTTAAGAGGCCGCATTGGTAAGTGGATTCTTGCACTTACTGAATTTAATCTGAAATATTTGCCTCAAAAGGCCGTCAAAGGACAAGCTTTAGCAGACTTTTTAGCAGATCATCCTTGTTTAGATGTTAACGCTGATGAAGACAAGGGAATTAATCTCTTTTCGATTGACTTGGTTCCTTGGAGGCTTATTTTTGATGGATCTAGCACTGATCAAGCCTCCGGAGCTGGAATTATTATTGTTTCTCCAGATGGCATAAAAACCCAATGGTGTTTTCAGTTAGATTTTGAATGCACCAATAACCAAGCAGAATATGAAGCTTTGGTAATTGGCCTTGAGTTGTTGGTAGAGTTGAAGGTGCCATCGGTTGAAATCGTTGGTGATTCTCAATTAGTTCTCAAGCAATTGAGTGGCGAATACAAGTGTACAAGTGTGGCTTTGTCTCCATATTTTGCCACTGCCATCCAATTACTGGAGGAATTTGATGATGTCTCCCTGAAGCATATTCCTCGCAACATGAATATTGAAGCAAATGAACTTGCACAGATTGCTTCAGGTGTAAAAATGCCTGAAGGCATCTTGGAGAAAGTCATCGTCATTGAAAAACATATGCTGCCTTCAATTCATCAAAGAGGAATAACGGTGGAAGCATACTCATTAGATGTCACACTTACAGATTGGAGGCATCCAATAATAGAACATTTGAGGAATCCCAGTTCTAAAACATCAAGGAGAACAAGGATGCAAGCTTTAAACTATGTGCTACTCGGGGATGTTCTGTATCGTAGGGGGCAGGATGAATTATTGTTGCGCTGCCTCGGTCTTGATGAAAGTTGCCATGTGATGTCAAATGTTCATAATGGTATTTGCGGTGCTCATCAGGCAGGGATTAAGATGAGATGGCTAATTCAAAGGCATGGTTTCTTTTGGCCATCTATTCTTAAGGATTGCATCAATTATGCGAAGGGCTGCAGAGCTTGTCAACTGCATGGTCCTTTGCAGCGAGTGCCAGCTTTTGAGTTACATCCTATTGTCAAGCCATGGCCTTTTCGTGGCTGGGCAATTGATTTGATTGGGAAAATTTATCCACCTTCTTCTAAAGGCCATTCTTTCATAATAGTTGCTACA